GAGGCTTCCTGGGCATGTATCTGTATCTGATGGCAAGTCCTCACTCCCAAGATAAAAGGATGCATAGCCCAGTGCCCAGGCAGTGGGGCTCTACCTGGTGGCTGATTTGGGCAGTAAACAAGAACAACTAAAGCCAGTCAGTCCCACCCCCTCGCACAGTAGTGGTTTGCTGGTTTGTTGATTGACTGATGGACCGGTGGCCGCAGCTCTCACCCTTCTGCATTCCTCAGTCTCAGTGGGCTAAGGAAACCAGAGGCTCAAGTTTAGGTGAAACATTACACTTTGGTGCTAAAGAGAAGTTCCCACACCTCAGAAAAACCTGGTTCTGGCAATTCTCTTCCTCTGTGCAATGGAGCTGGAAATAGTTGTTCATTCAACAACCCTTATTGTGCACCCACTATATCCTAGCCACTGTGTTAGGTAATGTGGATACAGCATAGAATGAAGCTATAAACTTGTGGTCCTTGCTGTAGTGGAGGAGACAGACATTAAACAAAAAAATTATGAAGACTCTAGAATTACAAATTATATTGCAAGTATCAATGGAGAAAAAGTATATTTTGAATGGGCATAAAAGGAGGGCAGTCATAGAGCAGATTTCTCTGCAAAAGTGACTTTTAAGCTATGACCTAACAGATGAGTAGGAGTAAGCCAGGTAGAGAGGTAGAGGCGGGGTGAGGTGAGGGTAGAAAGCCTCCCACAGAGAACAGCTTGCAAGAAGACTCAGAGTGAAGAAACTGAAAGGAGTCCAGTGTAGCCTGAACAGAGGAAGGAAATAAGGTCGGAGTAGCAGCCAATAGCCAGATAGAGCAGGCCGTAGTTAAGAGTTTAGATTTTAAGTGCAAAGGGAAGCTGTTGGTGGGTATTGAAGCCATGGGAGTGGTGACATGACCATATGTGCTTTAAGATGTTTTAAGAATATCCTTGGCTGTTTGGGGAATGGACCTTAGAGAGCAAAAAGGGGAGAAGGTAGACTAGTCACGACAAGAAATGATAGTCGTGGCCCAGGAGGATGGCAGTGGGACCAGAGTCAACTTTTCAGTTTTAATAGAGTGTTTTGTACCCAAACTAACACATCTTCACCTGGAAACTCTCAGGTCCACTTCAGAGCGGACAGATTAACCCTCAGAGGTCAATCACACTAGAGCTGTCTTCCTGGCTCACCTTTGCAAGCAGCAGCAGTTATAAATCTGTCTGTACTAACATTTACTAACTCTGTCTGTATCCACTCTATCCTCCCCAAGGCAGGGACCGTCTATCTCACCCACCTGGAGGACCACTTTGCTGAAGCTGGGTCCTGAGGCCCTGATTATAGACCGCCTACTTGCAGACACAGGTCCATGGAGGCTTCTCATCTGTACTTTTTACTTTTCAGGCTTACGCATCCATGATTATTTGTACTTCCAAGTGCTGAGTCCTGGAGACATTCGATACATTTTCACAGCTACACCTGCAAAGGATTTTGGTGGCATCTTTGTAAGTTCGGGGAGGATCCCTCCTCTCTGATCCTGTCGCCATCTTGACCCCACTAAGCTAAGGTGATCCCTCTCCTCCCTCCAACCAATACTTGAGCGCTGGGACATGGAAGGGAGCAGTGCAGGGGCTGCAGTGCAGGAAGGAAGGGCTTCCAGTTACTTCCCTGGGCACCATGGAGGGACCAGTTGTCCTTGGAAACACGAAACAGTGAAAAACCAAGGGCCCTGCTAGCTCTACCTCTGATGATATAACTTCATCATTCTGGGTCCGTACCAACTCCCTTGCCTGTCTCCTGGAAAGGGGTAGGACAACTATTTTGTGAGAATGAAGTACCCCGCACACAGAAACCACTCCACACCTTTTCTTCACACCTTGTGAGGAACTGATGGACAGGATGTCAGCCTGGACCTAAAGCAGGTGCGTCTCCTCACACGTCGACCTGTCTAAATGTCTTTCAGCACACAAGGTATGAGCAGATTCACCTTGTCCCCGCGGAACCTTCAGAGGCCTGTGGAGAACTCAGCAACGGTTTCTTCATCCAGGACCAGATCGCTCTGGTGGAGAGGGGGTGAGGAGTGGACAGGCACTGGCGCAAGGGGAGGGCAGGAATAGGAAAGCTCCTAAGATCAGTGATGGTGGCGGTCCTTTGAAATAGTTTTTAAATAACTCATCATTTTAAGTCTCTTTAAGGTTATCCATGCTTTTTGGCCATTTATTTATGAGCCTTTATGAAAAACTGTCCATGGTCCTTTCATCCTCCCAGGGTGATGGCCTCGGGGAGGGGTAGCTAAGACCCTGCCTTTCCTTTGATCTCATCACCTTTTCCAGGGGCTGCTCCTTCCTCTCCAAGACCCGGGTGGTACAGGAACATGGCGGGCGGGCGGTGATCATCTCTGACAACGCAGTTGACAATGACAGCTTCTACGTGGAGATGATCCAGGACAGTACCCAGCGCACGGCCGACATCCCTGCCCTCTTCCTACTCGGCCGAGATGGGTGAGGGCTCCTTGTCTCTGGAGGTCAAGGGCAATCACCAGTCCCTCCCACAAGCCTCATCTTGGGGTGAACCAGTTGGAGGGTCAAAAGTCCTTGGGCTCTGGATGGAACTCCCAAATGATGGGGACAGTGGGGCATGATGGGGTGCTGAGAAAGTGACCATCCCCACCTCTCTTCATGCCCTCCCAGCTACATGATCCGCCGCTCCCTGGAACAGCATGGGCTGCCATGGGCCATCATTTCCATTCCAGTCAATGTCACCAGCATCCCCACCTTTGAGCTGCTGCAACCACCCTGGACCTTCTGGTAGAAGAGTTGGTCCCACCTTCCAGCCAGCTCTAGGCTGGGAAGGAGAAATCCAGAAATTCTGCTGTTTGGGACTTGGAGATAGCATTTGGGGACAGGTGGAGCCAGGCAGAGGAAAAAGGCTTGGGCCTCTGCTAGGCTAAGGGAAGTCACACCGCTGTTCTCCCTTTCCCCAGGGCCCCCAAGGGTGTCTCATGCTGTGGGAAGATGCAAGAAACATGCCTCAGGGCTTCTTGGCTAGAATCTGGAACAAAAGGGGCTAAAGGCAGATGGCCTGAAAGCCATCTGTGACCTGTCACCTTTCACCTGGCTCCAGCCTCCCCCACCCAGGGTCTCTTGTGTCCTTCACAGCCGTTACTGGGGTAGTTTAAGGAGCTGGTGTTTGAGGACTTAATAAACCCTCACTGACTTTTAGCAATAAAGCCTCTCATCAGGGTTGCAACTGTGTCCTAGAATAAGAGCTCATGGGTGGGAGGGCCTTCAAACTCACCCATAGCCCCATGCTCTTGTGTTGAGGGGAGGAGATTGAGGCCCAGAGACAATAAATGACTTGTCCAAGGTCTTTTAGGACCACTACTCAGATTGCTAATCTTGGATCCCAACACAGCCTCCTGCTTAAGATCTTAGGAGCCATAGTCCCTGGAGAGAAGGCTCATCTTGCTGCCTAGTACTGGGGAACCATGCTTGCCCATGGAGGATCCTTGCTCTGGGGACTTAGAACATCAGCAAAGCGGAGTGTAGGTGAGACCAGAGATGAGCCTAAACTGGGGAACTAGAGCTCCCACCTCCTGCCATTATCTGATCTACCTTTCGAGCCTTTTCACCACCCACATGACTGCTGTGTGCTCCAGCAGCTTGTCAAGTCATTCTCCACCAAGCATGCCTTCAGAGCCTGTCACCACTCACATTTTATTGAGAAGAGTGGGCAGGCGGGGGAGGAGGGGAGGCTGGCTGCTGTGAAGGAGCAAGAACCCAATAGGCCAGACAGAAAGGCCCCACCTGGCTCATAATCCAGGGAAGGGCCTGTGGGCAGGCACCTGTCTTCCTAGGATCCCTTAGCAGGGGGATGTGAAGACCCCTTAGGGAAGGTAGGCAGAAAGGAATGGCAGGTGATGGGTTATAATTCCCACAGCTTCCAACACAAGAGTGAGGGGTACTGCTAATTTGGGGTTGGAGGATACAGTCAGGGCTAATCTCCGAGTGTCTAACCCAGCTCTTCTAGGTTTCTGGAAGACTTCAATGTTCCTCTGCGGAGACCCTAAAGATGGATCGAGGCCAGGAGAGCCCCTAACTGACCCATATTCAGCTGGTCCCAGGGAACCATTTGGAGCATCCTAAGCAGCACAGGCCTGTCACCCCCAGGTCTCAGCCATGCTGCTAGAGTCTTCAGTGGGAAGTGGTGTGAGGAAGGGGTAACGATCGCCCACACGCCCCTTCTGAGGGAAGCAGAAGCCTTTTCCGTACCCTGTGGGGCCAGTCACTGTGCCAGGGCCTGAAAGGCAAGGCACAAAATAGAGATTCTGGAGTTTGGGGAAGGAGTCTCCACTCCCCCAGATGTCCAAGGAGAGGAAGGTAATTCCCCTGGCTCAGTGTTTCCTGGCAGAGCCTTAGGGAAAGTGTTCTGGAGGCCCAGTTCCTCCTTCCTGCCTCACCCGGCTGTGCTAGTAGTCAGGCAGTTGCCTTATAAGCTACAATGATGGGAGGTGGGGAAGGTGAGGGCAATGCACCCCCCCTTCTTTCTTCTTCAATAAAGTAAGGCTGTTCTCAGACTGCCACTTTGTACCCCCTCAATAGCAAGTAGAGAGGGGTGAGGCCTCAGATGATGGGAAGGTGCAGCTATGGGGCCAAGGGGGGAGAAATACTGTCAGGCCCTGACCTTGGTTCCAGCCGCTCACACTCTGGAATGGAGTACATCAGGAGGAGGCCAGTTCTGAAAGGCTCGGCCACAGCGCAGCACGCGA